TATTTTTATTATTATTATAAATATATATATATATATATATATATATATATGTATATATATATATATATATATATATATATATATATATATATATATATATATATATATATATATATATATATATATACATTTTCTATCCTAATACCAGAGCTGGGTTTTCTAGTCAGAACGAATTAAATATAACAAATGAAAACCATTGAATTATTGAGGAAAGGATGCAAAATGAAAGTTTCAGAGTTTCCTTGTCATCATCATAATTATCATCATAATAATGTCTGTTTCTCCCTGATTTTGTAGGTTTGGAAATTTCAAATCATTCCACCTCTTCAATTTTGGCAATCATATAAAAAGTTAGGGCTTTTTTTTTTTTTTTTTTATAACCATTTTTTGAATTTTTTTAATTGCAAGATTTCTATGAACAAGTTTTGAACTTTTTAAAATTATCAAAAAGAGTTTAGGATTTTAATTTTTCCAGAATGCATTATATTCCTCATTTATAAATAATATTATTTTTTGAAACTTTTTGTTGTTAAAACAACACAAAATTCTAAATTTTAACCTCTGCTAGTAATCTTTCTAGTTTGACTATTTACCTGTGGCTGAGACCAGGTTAAAAAATTGGCTTAATTTAGCCAGACAGAGGCTCTGTACGATCACTAATCTTTTTATCACATTATTTAAAGAATCTTTATTATCTTAAAGTTTCGTTATTATCTTATAGATTCTTTATTATTTTATGAGTTATACTGTAATAAAGCTATTGTTATATATTATAACTTATATATTGTATTATTAATATAACTTATATAATTCTAAACATTATATTTATATTTATATGAAAATCATTCTACAATGTGTTATAAAACATTTAGGTCGAAGCACTCTTCTGAACCATTCTATTGCTGCTGAATTAAAAAGACAACTTAGTGTGCCATGGTTACCTTCATACTGTAGAAAGAACAATCTTGTAAACGTTGGTGATGCGTATTGGTTTTTCCAGGTTTTGTTTTTTGTTAAAAAGTATTGTATAATGTTATATGTTATAGAAATATAGAATAATACAAATCAAAAATTAAAGAAAAAATAAATGCTAAATTAATTAATGTAAATTAAAAAGAAAAAAATTAGCAGGAATATTTAAAATAGTTAATTTTGAATTTTATGGTGATTATTTTATCTAAAGGGAAATAGTTCTTTTCATCCTTTACATACAGAAAAGTTATCCTATCCATTTGGACTGACAAAATTACTTAGTAAAGGTATTGTTTAATTATCTTAGTAAATGTATTAACTTCTGCTATAAAAACAATATCATAAATCATCAAATAATCCCTGGAGCAAAAGTTGTTTGTTTCTGTAAAAGTTAAAAAAGACAGTATCATAAAATACTTATAGTATCATGAAAAATATAAAGGTTAATTGTTCTTAATGTGGAGATTTTTCAGAGAGTAGGGTAGTTATTTGATTATTTGTGTTATTTAATCTGGTAATAATAATTTTCAACATAATCAGCAAAAAAATAAAAATTTTTAGGACAGAAAGCTTGTTTTTCTAATATGAAGTTTGTCACATCACAAACAAAAGATTTTCGAAACAATTTTGCTTCATTGATTGATGATAATACCAAAATGTTTGAAAAAGAAAAGGAATGTGAAAATGAATGGCATCAGATTGACATGTCTGCAAAAATTTCCAAAGACGTTTGTAGTTCTTTATTTATACAATACAATATCTCTAATTTGAATTTTATAGGGGAAAATAGAAGTTAGAATTAAAGGCGTTTTTGAGTTAAAGAAAGTTGATTTTTTTTATAGTTACATTTCGTAGTGACTTTCACATTTCACAGTAACTCAGGTTTTTGAATAAAGAAGATTAAAATTAGAGAGATTGTACTGTATCAAAAAAAAAAAAAAAATTCAAAATACAACATTTTCTTATTTTAAATACTTAAGATGAGCTTAAACCTACTTTAAAGAAAACTTGAATTTACTTAAGGATGAGCCTTCAACTCCTTGAGATGAATTTTAATATATTTAGAGCTCGAGGCTTTAGACTTAAGATGGTTTTTAGGTTTTTTAAAATTTAATTTCAGGAGCATTTACAAAAAAAGAAAGAACGCTTATTGAAAAAAATCAAACAAAGCTTTTGTACTCAATTGAATGTTACTGCTAACAAGAATACAAATAAAAATGCAGATATTCTAAAAGAAGTTTTAGATACATTGCCAGGTAAAATAATTTTATGAGAATAATTATAATTAAAATTTGTATTAAAATTAATAAAATTATTTTATTGCAAGTAGTAATAATATTTCTATAATCATATATTGTTAGTACTTTTAAATTTATAATAATATAAATAGTGCTTTAATACACTACAGTTTTACTTAGGAGCTGAAAAAAAAAGCATAATCAAAGGTTCACGATTTACTCATGCTGAAAAGTTGCATTTTACAAAGGTATAAATTTATTATACTTATTATAAAAATCATTTGCTGTAAAGATTTAAAACCTTTTTAGTGTAAATATTTGTCTTATATTGCTTTTGTTTTTTCGTTTTTAGGACTTTAAGTAGGATTAAGTTGTTTTATAAAAGTCATGTTAATAGTTGTTTTCATAAAAGTTTTTTTATTAAATACAAATTGACAAATAAGAAAAACACAAATATACTCTTTTATAGTTCTTGATAAACCTTTACACATGTTACACCTTTCAAATACCATTCAAATTTGAGCTGATTAAACTAAAATAAAAGTGAAGTTGAAATAAAAATATCTAATCATATATGAGCAGGGTGTTAGCCAAGTTTTTGGTAGCACATTATGCATGGTATTCCTAACTGTTTATCAAACTAAAGTTAACAATTTTAAAGTAACTACAACAGCAAAATTAAACAAATGTGTTAAAGAAAATAAATATTTAGCAGAAATATTTAACATAAGTTACACATAATTATACATTGCAACATAAAAAATTTTATCAGTTTAATGTCCTGTTAAATGTTGCATTGCGTGCAATTTATTAGTGTACATAGAAGTTTGTGTAAAGTCAGGTATGAAAACATATTTTTTGTTGAAAACATACTTTTTGTAATAAGTTCCTGCAACTTTTCTTTCTAATATTGTTTTCATTTAATTTTTTTAAATAAATTAAGAAAAGAAAACCTTAGTTATCAAAAATCTTTAAGATAAATAAAGTAGACCTTGCATACTGTTGGGAGCTAAAAGACAAAATAATATGCTTGTGTAATATTCCTTCCCAACAAGTGTCTAAATATTGTTTGTTAGTCTATTTTATAGACCAAAAAAATTCTTTATTAGTGTGCAGTGTCCAAGGAAGTGTTTCAGAAAATTCATTGTTTTCAAAAAATGTTATAGATATGCACAGTAGAATTCAAGATATTAAGTATTTGAGAATCAACTTTAATTTAAATTAGTGTTAGTTTGCCAAATATTTTTTTAAAGTTCGTAATTTTTTAATTTTTTATGTTTGTTTATAACATTTTACTTTTACCAAAGTTCCATTTTTATATGCTTTATATTTATATGTGTTGGTAATTCCATGTCAAATGATCCAGAAATTTTCAAAAAAGTCACCTTATATCTCAGATTTTACTGATTTTTATACAGTTGAGAGTACTAAGTAAAATAAGAATTCCTTGAAAATTTTAGCCTTTAAGAAAGTACATATGCGCTTATAAGATTTTTGATTTGTAAATAAATGGATTAAAAACAGTCATTCATCTAAAAAAATGATTTTAACAGTATTTTACATTGCATAATTTGAAACTTTTTGTATTGAAAAGAAAACACATAAAAACATTGATCTGTCAGACAACAACAATTGAAGAATACAAATTAATGTTATCAGGCAATAAACAAATTGATAGCTCATTCCTACATTGCAAAATGTCAAGCAATATACCTAAAGCGACAAAAGGAAAAGTTGGCAGAAGACTGATATATTGTCCTAGGTGGTTTTACAGTTTTACAACTACACATTTGTGATTCAAGATGAAATCCAAAGTTACCATTGGTGCCAAAGTCAATGCTTGTAAGACTCCATTGCCTTCTATTTATCAAACGAAAATGACCAGCTTAAAGAAAAGTCATTTTGCTTCATATCAGAAGATAATGAGCATGACTTTGGTTTTGTGTGTGAAATTCAGATACAAACAGTTAATTATATAAAAGAAAATCATCCTAATATTTCAAAGATTCTTTTTTTTTTAGATGGTTGTGTTGCACAGTATAAAGACTACAAAACCCTATACTATATCTGTTTCCATAAAGATGACTTTGACATTGATGTAGAGTGGACATTTTTTAGTACAAGTCATGGTAAGTCATTATGTGATGGTATTGGTGCACTAAAAACAATTAACTGCAAATGCAAGTCTACAATGGCCCATAAATGACCAGATACTGAATTGTAAAAAATTTTTGACTAGCATACAAATAATATTAAAGGGACTATTTTTTTCAAGATTGAAAAAGAAGGACTTTCAGAATTGCGCACCAATTTGAAAAAATCTTTTCAGCTAAGTAAAACAAATCCTGGAACTAGGACCTATTATCAATTTAACTCAGAATCTATATATACTGTTAGCTTTACACGAACTAGTGAAGATTAATATAGACATGTTTTCTTTTTCTGTTATTCAAAGTATTCAACCTAATCAATAAAGTAACATCAATACATTGAAATTTGGTGAATTTATTCTGTGTAAATATGATACATTTTATTGGGTTGGTATGATAAATGAAATTGAGAATATATTGAGCACGATGTTATGGTAATATTTATGCACACTCATGGTCCTATTAACAAATTTTTCTGGCCATCTAGAGCAGATAAGTGTTGGGTTCTAATTACCAACATAATTTGTATCATTAATGCACCTGTAACTACAACTAGACATATGTATACTTTGACCATTGATGTATCTGAGCAAATCTTAACACAATCACAAAACTTTTTATTTATTATTTTTATTTATGTATTTATGATATTTTATATTTATGTATTTTATTTTGTAAATATTTAAATAAAACAGACAAGTACAAACCAAAAAGTTTTTAAAGACAATATTTTAAAATTATCTTTACATTATTGAAAAGGCAAAACAAATTTTTTTTGAGAAAATGAGTGGCCCTGGGTATGGCTCTGGGCAGTGGACCCTCTTGTTGTCTGTTTTGGAAACAATTTTAACATGCGTTTATCAGAACTACACAAATGCTGAAAGTTTCACAGTTCCAGCTAGACTGGAAGTTAGTGAAAATCAATCACAATTTTCCATTACAAAAAAGTAGGGAGTGTGCCCTGTTATCCACATATGGAAATACATATACATGCAATCCAAAATTTATATATTTTTTGAAAAATCAATCAATATAGAATGTGTAATTTTTTTTTTTTTTTTTTTTTTTTTGATATTATCAAGGCCACATGGGTTTCTTGAGCATTAAAAACAAGTATATAAAAAATTTTCTAAGTTTATTTAAATTGATAATTACAGGTATTTAATAATAATTTTTTACACTGAACATTTCATTGGATTCGTCACCCCCAAAAATAGCCAGTTTTTAGCCACCCCAAAAATAGCCAATTTTTAAGTAAAAAAAATCAAGTATTTGTAAAAATTATGTGACTTGAAACCTCTAAATAAACTGAGTGGACAAGATGGGCCTAGCTAATAACTGCTAAAAGTAAAACGATCATAATTCAGGATCTTGGAGCCAATGACTAAAATTTTCAAGGATTTCTTATTTTGCCAAGCACTCTCAACTATATAAAAATCAGCAAAATCTGAGATGTATGGTATCATGACCTAGGTCATTTGACATGAAATTACCTGTTTATCATGTGTCTACAACCAAACATGGGTACAATGCAAGCAAGCATTCTTAGAGGCTATCTTTTTATATTCTGAAAATTTAACACAATTAAAGAACAAAATAATCGATGTTTTATATTTTTTTAAATGGTGTTTTCAAAAATAAATATAATATTTTAAATAAAAATATGATGTGTTAAGTAAATTAATAAAAAGTCTTTTGAAATAATAAAAAATAGCTATAGAAAATGATGTCTTGTGGTGCACAATGAAAAATGTTATGGCATAGTAAAAATAAACATTTTTGGAATGAAATGAATTATTAAATCGGAAAACAGAAAAGAAAATTTTTATTTTTTATAAACAATTTTTTTTGGCTTGAAATTTTAAAGAAATATAAACTTTCTAAACTTAAGATCTCTTTAATTAATTTTTGTATGGTCTGCATAACAAAGAAAATTAGAATCTAAATTGACACAAAAACAAAGAAAAGATATGCATAAAGAAAAAATTTCTCAAGGTTAAAATTATGCATAGATAAATTTAACCTTGTATTTTTTATGCTAGTTTTATGAATTTTATGTTATTTTTTAACAGCAGTTTGAATAGAGATTACATTCACTATTCAATTACTACTGTAGTTTTTTAAACAATATATAAAGTTTTATATATATATATATATATATATATATATATATATATATATATATATATATATATATATATATATATATATATATATATATATATATATTAAAGGAGGAGAAAAATTTAGTTGAGTTAACACAGAGGAAACAAGAATTAAAGGATGAAGTTTCTGAAGAGGTTTTTATTATTATTAAAACTTTATTTAAATATAAATGAGCATTATTATGGATATTTAAAATTTTATATTTATTTCAAAAGGAAAAACAGCAGAAGCAAGCTTCAGAGCTACAAATGTTGCAAAATGAGCTAAACAGATTGGTTTTAAAATTTCAAGATGATCAACTAGAAATCAGGCAAATGACTGCGCAAAATAACCAGGTAAACATCAAAAACTTCTTTTTTTTTCCTTTACTGTTATGCTAATTTTTATTAGTGTGTTTGTTTTTTTGTTTTTTTTTATTAACTACTATTGTTGTTTTTTTATAAACATCACTGTTGGCTTTTTATTTTGCTGCCATTTTATTACCTAGATCCTTGATAATACAGCAATTCTAGAAGAAGAAAGTAAAATACAAGAGACAGAATATAGAATAAAAAAAAATACTATAGACTTGTTGCCTGATGCTAAAACTAACATAAGCAAACTAGAGGTATATAAAGTTTTTCAAGATTTTACATTTTTTTAGTTCAAATATATTCAAGTAAATTTATTTCTTTTTTAGCAATTAGTTGAAAACAGTTCACAGAGATTGATAAATTTAAATGAACAATGGGAAAAACATCGTGTACGACTTTTAGAAAACTATCGGAATCTCAAGACTAAACAGAAAACTCGAGCTGTATGTGTGTATATACTTTTTATAAAAAGTTTTATTATAAGCTTTGTCATTAAGCACTTAATGCTAAATGTTTTGGATCTTTATTCTATTCTTTATTAGATATATATATATATAGTTTAGTCTACACTCTAAATGGGATTGTAAATATTATATAGTTTTTTTTTTAAGTTAAACTTTTTTTTAAATTAGTTGTATAGTTCATATCATAGTTAAAGTTTTGTTTCATTTTCTAGTCTGAAATGGAAACAAAAATCAATAAAATACAAGTACTTCGAGAGAAAATTAAGCTTATTTCTCAAGAAACACGAGATAAAGAGGAACTTCTTAAACACTTTGTAAGTTTTATTTTTTAATCTATCAAAGTTTTTTGTAAAGGTGTATATTTAAAGGTGTTTTCATTGATTTATACAGGCTGTACTGTGTAAGGTTTGTGTATTAGCCTGTGCCAAAAAATAAAAAAACACTTCACTCTCCAATCTTAATCATTTGAAAGAAGAAGACTAATTTTAAAATTTTAGAACTGTAGGACAAATCTAATAGGATTACGTAGATGCTGTTTTTTCCAGTTTTTGTAAAAAAACAGAAATTTTTTTTTATCATAAAAAGATTTTCTTTGTACTTTTTTGGAATTTAGTCTTTTTATCTAGATATATCAAATATCTTATAAATAGTGATTTTTTATCGAACCTATCTCACAATTAGTCACTGCCTAATTCTATTTTACACTGTCACTGTAGTTCGTTTTTTATTGGTCACTGCTTATTAGTCACTAATAGTGACTAATAGGCAGTGACACTATTAGCCACTATTAGTCACTGCCTAATTAAACTTTGCATAGTATATATATAAACTAGTTTTATATTTCCAGATAAATAAAATATTGACTAAAATAAAAACAAATTGAAAGAAAAGATTATTGTTGTCCTGTTAATCCAATAAAAACTTGTTATCTCCTGAAATACCCCAATAAGAGTGTACCAGATTGAGGGCTTTTTGCCGTTGGAAACAGTTTAGGGTCCAAACATTTCAGTATTACATTTAAAAACTCAACTACAAGCCTTCCCAGAAGATGCGTATGGTCGCACACCTTATATGACTTTATATGATTTTAGTTTTTATTTCTCTTTCCAGTTTATAGTTATTTTTAATTTTAGTTTAAGTTTACATTTGTTTATTCAGCATATTTCTTTAAACATGTCAACTTAAAACATGCATGGAACTGTGGCCAAATTGTCAAAACAAAATATTATATGCATGGTCATATAAAGTGTGCAACCGCTCGTGTCTCCTGGAAAGGCTTGTAACTACATAAATCTTTCTCTTTAATTTTAATTTATGTAACTTAAAATCTCATAATTGTTTTAGATCATGTTTTTGCAGTTAATTCAGATACAAACAATTGCAAAACTAGTAAATACCATAAAGCAAAAGCAACGCTTACCAATATTATTGACTCCCCCATCCATTATAGGCAATATAAATGAAGGCGGAGTCAATAATATTGGTAAGAGTTAAATTATATAAGAAATGTTTAGCAGTACTAACGGTTCACAAAAATCACTTTATATTTAATTTAAAAAGGGCTGACCAGAAATCTTTAATTAGGAAAGTAGACTTGATAATGAATCTATCTTTGATTGGTGCATTCTAGCTTCAGGTTTAATTTTTGTAAACTTTGTAATGTAAAAGCGAAATAAGCCCCAACCTACTTGACTTGTGCACTTTATAATGAAACCTTTGCTAGAGATGATTACCACAAGTTATTTAAGTATACTTGGTAGAGTAATTCAGAACTTTAGATTTCTTTAGCTTGTTGAAATGCATGAGGTAAGATTTATGGCTGATGCAGTATATATTTTAACAAATCAGATGATCAAGGAAAATGTTTAATAATGCCAGCTTCTTATTTTTAAATAAGAATAGCAGCCTCTGCTCCAGATTTGATGCATATGCATTAAAAGACTTATGAAGAAGAAGAGCTGAAGAAATCTTTTTGCTCTAGGAAGTATAAGGATTTTGGAAATGCTCTAATAAAAAGCTTAAAATGTCAATGGCATTTAAATAAACAGTTGCTCTTGCATTAGCAGAGTTCTGCATGATATCAATAAGGAAGAAATGATAAAAATTTGGTCATCAATGTTAAGCTAGAGATATTTAGATGCGCTTCACCCACAAAGGTTCCTGATATGGGCAGTAATTTGCCACTTCCTTACCTTGTTGGTCCAGAAAGCTTAATCCTTTTCAACATTGTTGGTGTTTCTGATGAAGGTGTTAATTAAAAGTGTCTTGGAGTTGTAAAAACAACAAACTGTTTTTTTTTTTTAAATGCTGTTAAATGTCATTTTTTCATGATTTTTTAAAAATTAATTCACTCCCAGCAATGTTGGGAATTACTAGAAAACAAAAAGTAGTGAAGAGAATCGTTTGACTGAAGACTTAAAAGGTTGTGTTAACCATTGATATGTTTTATAAACATGAAGATGAGGGAGAGTTCCAAACCCATTAATGTGCAAGGAAAAAACTAGATGAATAAAAGTTTATAGAGTATGAAGAAAGAGATACAGTAAAAGGATGCAAATTTACTGGATGACAAGTCAAACAAGAATGAGTTTTTGCTTATGGAACTAGAAATAATAGCTTGTTTGAGCAGTGATCATAATAGATGATAACCATGGTAGAGTGGTTTGAGCTCAACAGATAGAGCAGGTCTAACTACATTTGTAATTCGTTTTTTGAAGTTGCATTGGAGTTGTCTTTGATGTCCTTGTCTAGAAGGGAAAGAGAATCATTAGAAGAACCAACCCAATAATGACAAAAGTATTCCATACAGGAAGGAAAAAGAGAATTTTAGAGGTTAAAAATTGAATCAAGAGTAAGAAAATGGTGAGCATGATAAAGAGAAGCAACCTTAAAAGCTTTCTTTGCAATGGATTGTGTATCTGGTTTCTGACAGGTCAATAGTGAATGATAATCTAATATAGAACATCAATATAGAAATTTCAACAGCATTTGCAATAAATAACTGAGTTTTATTGGAAAATTCGCAAACCACAGCTAGCCTTAAGCTGTTATAGAAGAGATCAGATTCATAATCTGTCTGTTCTAAGCAATCAAAAGGACAAGACAGGAGTATGAATTTGAATTGCCACTTTAAATCCAATATTGTCAGTAAGATCATTAATGTAGATAAGGAACAATACAGGACCAAGGATAGAACCTTGTGGTACCCCTGAACTTACTGGAAATGAAAAAGAGTGTTGGCCTATGAGAATTTTATCTGCAGTTAGAAGGAATGCTTTAATAATCTCAAAAACTTTGCCAAATACTCCTTATAAAGAAAATTTATGGAGAAGATCAGTATGTCAAACTGTCAAGAGCAATAGCCCTTGCCTCGTTGCGTCCATCAAATACACGATAGTTACAGCAGTTAGCAAGTCAACTGTAGAAGATGAAAAATCATTGATTGTCAGAGAGTAATTTATTAGACTCAAGATGGGATGTTAGACACTTGTTGATTAAAGACTTGCTAATAATAGATAGAAGACTAATTTGACGATAATTAATTAGGTCAGAGTGTTCTCCAAATTTTTTTTAAATTGGAAGAAATTTAAGAAATAAAGAGAGTTCTGGAAAACACTTTTGTAAGACTATGATAGAGTCTTACAAAAAGAGAGCCTTAGAAGAGTTTAATGGTAATGACTTTAATAAGTGAGACCGGAGTGATTTGGATGCCCAACAATGCCTAATAAGATCTGATCCATGAATTAGAGATGGAATGTTAGACTTATATTTGTTAATGGTACTTTTGTAGGTTTTTCCAAATATATCTATAACCTAACTTCTGGCATAAGGTACAAGATCTAGTAAGCTGAGTATAATGTAATTTAGCATCAGCATTTTTTTACATTGGTTTCTTGCAATAATAAAACAGCGTTTGTTCTTAAGAGTGCTGTTTCTGTAAAAAAAGAAAAGAAACTTATTTATGATTAGATATAGTAGCTACACAACAAGATGAAAACCATGGAATAAAACAAGGATTGACTTCAAACCAACAAGAAGGAATAAAAGCCTCCATATTTTTCTGGATCTAGGAAGTTACATAGGATGCGCGTTTATCAGCAAAGAGACAAAAGACATCTGCCCGAGTACTGTCAAAAAAAAAAATCACAAAAAGAACCCCAGATGATTTTCTTCATGACTAAAATTCTTCAATAGTAAATATTTTGTAGAAGCTTTACTAAAGTAGCTTGCTAACCACAACTTACAAAATTATCCATTGAAAAGCCAACCCACAAATAACAACTCACACAACTATACAATGATTTTTTATATTTATGATAAATATTTATATTAAGGTTAATGATGATGATGATGGTGATGATGATGATGATGATGATGATGATGATGATGATGATGATGATGATGATGATGATGATGATGATGATGATGATGATGATGATGATGATGATGATGATGATGATTCTGTGTTTGCAAAATGAAGATTGCATTTTGCAAATATAAAAAATTTAAAAATAAAAAGGGAATCTTTTCTTTGATTTCATCAAAAGTTGTAATGTAGTTTAAAATCTTCAAAACAAATTAAGTAACTAAATAAATTATTTTTTTTAAATTTAATCACCATAAAACAGTTCAATCTCAAAGATAAATGATAAGTTATGTTTTTATAGATTTCTGAATATGAAAGATTACCCAAAGATGTTAATCGATCTGTTTACACAAAGCGTATCCTGGAAATTGTTGCTAATATCAAAAAGCAGAAATTGCAGATTTCTAATGTAAGCTTTATTTCAAGATTTTTTGGTTTTAAAATATTCTTGTTTCACTATGTTAGTCATGCTTTCTAATAAATAAATAATTTTTTGTCATTATTAAATTTGTTTGGATTACTTATTTTTTTAATAAGTCTATTTAAAGATTATATATATGTGCGCATGTGTATGTTTGTGTGTGTGTGTAATATGTGTCATATGTGTTTATGTGTGTGTGCCTGCATTTATGTGTGTATTTGTGTATATGTATAAATATTAGGGTGAAGCGATTTTTAAAATTTTCGAAATTTGATTTGCCTGAGCTGCAAATCAATGTCTTTTGATGAAAAAAGAACCTTACTTTTTTTTTTTTTTTTTTTAATTTAGATGAGGTTCCTCTTTGGACTCAGAATAAAGAAGCAGAATAATATGCTGATTTTGAAAATAATGTTTGTTTTATTTTAAAACTGAGGAAAAATAAATAGTGTTGTTTTTTTTATATATATAAAAAAACCCCTGTCTTCATCAAAACGGAGGTTTTAAGGTTAATTTTCGCAAATATTTTCTTCACTTAAAATTTTTTTTTAGATAAATTTATTGTTGATAAGACAACTATTTTTTTTCTGCTTTTTTTGAGTCCAAGGTTGATATGGTTTAGAAAAAAAAAAATTCAAAAATATTAGGATCAGTCAAGAATTTAGAATCCAAAGAGGAACCTCAAGATCTCATCAAAATCAAAAATTATTTTTTTTATATTAAATTTTTTTTTATATCTTATAATAAATAGACATCGATTCGTGTCTCAAGAGTATTGATTTTTAAACTTTTTTTTTTTTGCTATGAAAATTGCTCCACCCTAATAAATATAACTTAGTATAAAGCACTTCTAACTTTCCAGTTTCACCTATTTAAGTTTAATTGGGATGAATATCAAAATTTAAAAGTTAGTTTTAAACAGATCAAATAAAGTCAATATTTTCTTTTTTTATATCTTATATATGTTTTGATGACATGATGATTTTGATGTCTCTCTTGCCTAATGTTTTTTTCTCCTGTCTTTAATTGATTTATTGTTTATTTTGTTGTTGAGTGAGGAAGCGATACATTTGTAAAAAAAATCCTAAAAAGTTGCAGATTGCTTTGAGAACAGCGTTGTGAAACGATTTAAGGACTCTGGCACAATCAAAGGGAAACCAGGAAGTGGAAGAAAAAAAGTTTTTGTTCAACGAGATCTTGTTAAAAAAGTTAAAGATGCCGTAGACAGAAATCTGGAAATTTCTGTTTGAACTTAAGCTAATAAATTTAGGACAAGTGTTTCCACTATACAAAGAGTGAAGAGAAATTGTGGCTATAGATTTTATCAAAAGAAAAAAGTTCATCGTCATAAAGAAAAGCAAGAAAATGTTGTTTGTAATTCAAAACTGCTCTATAAAAAATTATGTGCTAAAAAATCTTGTTTGATTTTGGATGAGGAAAATTATTGTGCTGCATATTTCCAAACTCTCTTCCAGGACACCAATATTATTCAGCAATTAATCACAAGAATTCTTATATAAATGCATTCGAATGGAAATATTTACTAAAAAGTTCTTAGTTTGGCAAGCAATTTGTGAATGTGGTGAAAGAACCTCTTGTTTTGTGACTATGGGAACAATTAACACCAAAATATACATCAAAGAATGCCTTAAGAAGTGCCTTTTGCAGCTTTTAAGATCTCAAATTAACAGAGTATTTTGGTTCAATTTAACATCATGTCACTACTCTAGGACAGCTTTAAACTGGTTTAGATAACAAAAAGTAGATTTCATTGAAAAACACTGCAATCTACCAAATTGTCCAGAATTATGTCCTATCAAAAGATATTGGAATATTGTAAAAGGAAAACTAAGGTTCAATATAAAAGAAGTTAAAAATATCCAGAATTTCAAAAATAAATGGATTAGAGCTACCAAAAAACTTCAGCCAAAGATCCTGCAAAAGCTGATGTCAAGTGTAAAGCGCAAAGTGTGTGCGTTCTTATGTACACAACTTCACAAACTTACTTAAGTGAAATTTTAAAATTTTATTATATGTACTTTCAAAATATATATAACATTTAATATCAAAATTGATTAAATGACTTAATATTCTTTAAAATATCCGTGCAGATTTTTTTTGATACAAGTCTTATTATAACAGTATTCCTTTAAAAAAATTTGTGTAATTAGTTAGAAGAATTTTGTTCAATCACTTTAGAAAATTTTTTACTATGTTTGTTAAAACATTTTCATGGTAATGGGGGTTGGACTAAATTAGGTTCCTTTTTCTATTTTGCTGTCATATATTAGTTCAAAGTTTTTAAAACCACTTTCTTTTAAAATATTATCATTAGTACATTGCTAATTCAACTTATTGTTGATTGAATTTATTTAATCAAAATATTTTTTTTTTCTGTTGAATTTGAGGGAGAAGGTTTTTAGCATAATGTTAATGTGGTAATTTGTTGTTTCAGGTTTTTTTGTAAACTTATACAAATGTAAGGTCAAATAATACTTTGTGAAAATTAACTATTTTAGATATATGCTTGTTTTAGTGTGGAAACCAATGTTGTTGAAAATTTTTTATATCTTTTCTGATTTTATTATGATGTGGCCCTGATATTTTAAACCATCAATCTATTGAGTTAATAAATATTTTTATCTAGGTTATTTGGTAATTCTCCTAACATCCATTAGTATTAAAAAATAAAAAAAAGTGTTTTTCTAAGATTTATACAATTGTAACAATTTTTTAACAATGATTTTTAAAGACATTAAATTATTTTTACTTGTCATAGGTTTTAATTGATACCAGATCACTGCAGAAAGATATTAATTTTTTGAGTGGTAATCTTGATCGAACATTTACTGTAACTGACGAACTTGTATTTAAAGTATGTTTTTATCTATTTTGTAAATTATGCAAACATTATCAAAATATCTCTTTGTATTTACAACAGAATACTTTTACAAATAATATATTTATGTTTACTTAATTTAAATTATTTTAATTGAAATTTTTTTAAATTGTTTTAAATGTTATCTAGAATGCTACAAAAGATGAGTTCAGTAAAAAATCATACAAATTACTAGCTGCAATACATGAAGTAATTTTTATTTTATGTTTTTCTCAATTACTAAGTAATAATTTTGATATTTTCATTTCATATTGATATTTTATCACATACATCTTTGTGTAGTTAGTCTTAAATAAAACATGATTGATAACATCATACTGAAATAACCATCTGCAGGGACTATAGTAAACACATCAGTTAAGGGTTTGGACAAGTACTATTAATAATAAAAGACTTTTATGGCACACAAAAAATGTTTTTTCATTATTTTCTTTTTTATTTTGGTTATTTATTAAAAAATGTTTTTTTTTTTTTTTTAATATTTATGATTAAAGTTTAAAGTTGTGTGTGCAAAACTAATATATGGGTGTTACAAGCCTAAACTAATATATGGGTGTTACAAGCCTAAACTAATATATGGGTGTTACAAGCCTAAACTAATATATGGGCAGTACAAGCCTAAACTAATATATGGGTAGTACAAGCCTAAATTAATATATGGGTGTTACAAGCCTAAACTAATATATGGGTAGTACAAGCCTAAACCCTTTATTGTTTATATAACAAATAAAATTTAATTTTCATTAGAGAAAAAATATAGAAATTTCATTTTATTACATAGTTATTGTATTATTTTGTTGAGTAAAACATTTATGAAAGTGCTTGTACAATTTTTCATCAACTTTTTTAACATTTGTTATCACATATTAATTGGTCAATTTGTTCAATGATCTCATGCCCAAAGATCATTAAACATTAAAGTGATTCATGAACAAATGATTGATTGAACATTGAAGTGATTCATGAACAAATGATTCATTGAACATTGAAGTGATTCATGAACATTGAAGTGATTCATGAACAAAATATTAATTGAACATTGAAGTGATTTATAAACAAATGATTCATTAAACATTAAAGTGATTCATGAACAAATGATTCATTGAACATTGAAGTGATTCATGAACAAATGATTCATTGAACATTGAAGTGATTTATAAACAAATGATTCATTGAACATTGAAGTGATTCATGAACAAATGATTCATTGATCATTGAAGTGATTCATGAAAAAAATATTCATTGAACATTGAAGTGATTCATAAACAAATGATTCATTGAACATTGAAGTGATTCATGAACAAATGATTCATTAAGCATCGAAGTGATTTTGCTCATTACTTGTATTTATTACTTAAATTTTTTTTTTTTTTTTTTTTTTTTTTCTGATAAACTTAAAAATTTAGATATTAGATTTGAACAATTAAAATGAAAGAGCATTATTTAGTAACAAATATTAAAAATAAATGACTAACCTATACATATATAAACATTCATAATTATTTATGCAACTAAAGTGACCAATGAAGCCATTCAGCTGTATAAACCTGGAAGATATGATAATAGATTCAGATTGTAGATGGTGTCATTGGGTAAGAATCAGAAATGAATGCAAAGACTATTTAGTAGGAGAAATAAAATTTTATGACTCAAGGAGAGGGGGAACCATAACTCACATTCTGGTCATCTAAAGCAAGTAATAAAACAATGGCCTATAAGTTAACAAGTCTATATAAATCCGCTGGCATTATAATGGTTCCCATAACTAAAAATATTGTACAATATAAAATAATGAAGTAAAATAAATAGTAAAATTGTAAGAAAATATAATATAAAATACTGTCTTTCACTTCCTCCATGGTTAAAATTAGGTCATAGTGGTAAGTTAACTTGTTTGAGTATGCTAGAAAATCTTGCATCATTCATAAAAAACATAGCTTCTTCTAATAAAAATATACTTCTTGAAGAAATAAATAGTAGAATATACTATAAAGCAAAAGGTCAATCACGATGTTCTGTAGGTATGATCAGACATGCTTTATTATTAAAATATATATCTAAACAAGCATATGAAATTTTACTTGAATTGTTTCCATTACTTTTAATTGCTTTATTAAATAAAACAAAACAAAGTGGAGTTCATGCAATGAAGGCTGTTAAAACACTTCGTGAGAAAGGTTCAATACACAAAGATATAATACTGATTGTAGATGAATTTTATCTTCAGAAACAGGAACAATATTGTAGTCTTGTCTATGTAGGTGCAGATGACAATGGTACTCTGTACAAAGGAGTAGTTGCATTTATGATTAGTTTAAAGAAATCTACACCTTATGTTATAAAAGCAGTACCTGAAATTACCATTAGTGGTAAATGGCTTTCAGAGCAAATATCAGATTCTATTAGTTCTCTTTCTTTATCTGGTTTTAAAATTCAAGTTGTTACTGACAATCATCAAGCAAATGTAAATGCATTTAGTTTACTTCATGCCAAATTTGGTGATCAGTCAAATTTATTTATTTATCATCCTAATAGTCCAAATATTAAAATATACTTATTAGTATTTTTCAATGTTTGGATAGTGTTCACATTGTTAAAAATATCAGAAGTGATTTATTACACTGCAAAAAATTTGTCTTTCCATATTTACATATAATGTAAAAAATGAAATCTATTGTCCAGCTGATTATATTACTTGAGGAGACTTTCATCTTTTACATTCTAAAGATGAACAACTTCAAAGTAATTTGAAAAAAGCTTCGAAAAAAACATATCAAACTCTTCACCCTTGTAATAAAAAGCAAATGTTTCTCAGTCGATTTTTGATGAAACAACAATTGCAAGTTTTAAAAGTTATTTTTCAAAAGGAAATGACATTTCCGGTTTTTTAAGCATTTTTCAAAAATGGTGGACTGTTTCAAATTCAAACTAACTATTTAGTCCTAATAAACTTGGTAATGCAATTATTTTTGATGATGGTAAAACCACATTTTTTAGGCAAGTAGCTGATTGTATTGAACTTTGGAAGAAATCTCAATTTTTTACTTTATCAAAACAAACATAATTTTCTCTTATCACAACTCTGCGTTCTCAAGCAATACTTATAGACGAGCTTATCGAAGAAGGATATTTGTATGTGTTTACTTCACGACTTCTAAGTGACCCTATAGAGCGTAGATTTTCTCAATATTGACTGATGAGGGTGGGAAATTTCTAGTAAGTTTGTTAGAAGTTGAACATTCAGAAATAATTTTAACATGTCGGACTTTAATTAAGGAGAATATAAATTTTTGGGATGAAGATTTAAAGAACAATTATGATAACCCAATTAATGATGAATTAGATTAAAACTCAAATGAGATATCAGAATTAACTCTATCACAATTGTTGGTTATAAGCTAAGAAATTGATAAAAAGAAGTAAATGTAACGATTGCAAGTCTACGCTTGCTACAGATGCAAGCAATATAAATATTTGTCCATATATACAAATACTTTCACGAGGTGGTCTTACTGTGCCTTCACTTTCACTTAAGGATTTCACATGTGGATGTTTTGCAGTCTTAGATAATCTTTCAAATTCAATAACTAAACAAGGTGCAAATGTCAAAGATGTATCAAGCTTTGTTTTATCAAAATACTTTCCAACAGTTTGCTTTTTACTTTAGACAAAGAATGGGGGTTTAAATTTTCTTCTAAAATTATAATTAATGTCTTTTTAACAATATATATTTATAAATACATAATTCGCTAGTATGAAAACACAAAATGCCAGTTTTTTGTGAATACTTTTTTATTCATAATATTTCTACTCGTAATATTGTATTTATGCTATTTATTTAGCCTAGATGACATGTAATAATATGTTTTCTCTATAGTTGCGCAGCCATCTTTTTTTATAAGTAGGCCTCTTAGAATCGGCCTCTAAAATGTAACATACACGGCCATGTAATATAGTAAACTATGATCCAAGTATATAGTCAGCGAGCGCTGATCCGGCTAAGTTATTGTTTTTCCTACAGGCTTTGTTATTCAGACTGTTGTTTTTGTTCTTATTACAAAATGTTTTGTTGATTCTTTGTCAATATTGCAATATTTATAATTAATTGTTTGTTTTGTTTATTATTCGTTGTCACTGTTTGACTAGTTTTTAGTTATCCAAACTTAATTAAACCATAGTTTATAATTTCATCTCTAAATTTCAATCTTACGGTTAAATTAATAAAAAATAAAGTTTATAATTTCACGTTAAATTGTTAAATATTTAAGTTTACAATTCTACTGCTAAATTTCATTATTAAGGTTAAATTAATAAATATTAAAGATAATTGAGAATCAATTTTTTTGTCCCTTCTTTTCGTAATTGTATTATTTATTTCAGAAACTTGTCGAGTGAAATTTTTTTCAAAAATGATGTTATAGATAATGAATATTTCAGTTTAGTTACACCGTTTTATGCAAAAACACGTGAACTAATAAGTCTTTCAATGGGTTGTATTTTGAAATTTACGTTTACTGCAAAAACTCATAAAATTTGGATGTTTTTTTAGTTCTATGAAAAGTTAAAGCAGCGCACTTGACTTCTGAAATAAACCATTTAATTCTTTTTTATTTTAGATAAAGTTATTTAAAAAATTTATAAGATTATTATTTGACATAAATAAAGCAGACCTAATATTTCCTATGGGTAAAAATGTTTACTCTAAAATACAATCATAACTTGCTTTTCTTAATGTTGATAATCTAATTTTAATTTTCATTTCAATTTATTTAATACACGAGTACCTAATATAAGTTATCAAATGCATAAATACATTGCACAAATTATTAAACACATAAATACGCCAAGTACTTTTTCATAAATTCTTTTAATTTCTTAAAATACTGTTCTTACGCGGTAATTTTCGTTTATTTAGTTACAAAGATGATTTTAATATAAAGTAAAATTACATTTTAAACATTTTCTTTTTATAATCATATTTTTAGAACTTTGCGAATTTAATAAAAACAGTGGAAGAAACTGGCACTGTTTTGAGAGAGATTAGGGATTTAGAAGAACAAATAGATAAGTTCAATGATAACGAAATAGAGGAAAATCTCCAAAAGTTACGTAATGATCTAAGTCAAATGAAGAAAGAAAACGATGAAATGATAGCTAAATTAAAAGTAATTAAATAAACTGATAATTATAGAATATAAAGTAAATTAAATTTCGATTATTGATTTTGTTGTTGATATACTCGTTGCTGTTTTAAATTTTGTTTCGCGCTCCTACAAAACACGTTTTACTTATAATACATGTAACATTTTGTACTTAATTTTTTTTCTTTTTCTTAATTTGTAAATTTTTTTTAATATATAGCAATTTATAATTCTGATTTATAAAAAAAAATTAAATGGTAATTGTCTTGTCGTTTTTTTGTGAAAAGAATTTCTAAGACTGTCAGCTCTAAATTTAGACAAAACAAATTCTATCGTTCTATTCAAAATTATTCTCTTATACTGAGATTAAAAGGTAATTAATTTCTCGTTATTGAGTGAAAAATTTTCAAAAAACAAAGAGTTGCACCCAACATCACCAAATTCACTGAAACTTGGCACAAATGTGTAAAAATAGGAACGGCTAATAATAAAGTTAGGAACGACTGTAAATTTTTTTCAAAAATTTTTTCTCCCTTGAAGAATTGCAGCAATTTAAAGTTTGTTAGATTTTGACTGAAAAATGAGGGGGGGGGGGAGTGAAAAATGAGGGGGGGGGAATAGAAATATACCTACTTTACGAATCAATTTTGTTTTGGCCTTATGCTTTGCTGAAGAATTATTGACGTTTTGGCCTTATGTTTTGCTGAAGAGTTATTGATATTTTGGTTTTTCAATTTTTCTGAAGAAATAAAAAAAAAATAAGTTGCAAATTCATTTTCATATTGAACTAAATTATATTTGTTTTTAATTTAACTTTGAATCAGATAATTTGATTATTGAATATATAGATAAATTGAATCAGATTTAAATTTTTACAAAGTTTTCACAAAATATTGTCCATTATTTTGTAAATTTATAAATTTGTTACTTGTTGTTTTCACTACATAATAGTTATGTCATTAAATTAAACAACATGAAATCTTTTTATTATTGATGGTTTTATTGTAATAAAATGGTGATCTCATTTGTTTTTTTTTTATATTGATTGTATTAAAATGGTGATCTCATCAATAAATTAAGTAATAAAATGACAAATGTACATAATAATATCCAATAAATATTAAATTGTTAAGTTATATAATTAACTATAAATATATTTAGTTATAATCTATTTTCACACTAATATTTGGAAGATAATTAGTAGAGAATTGAAAAAATCAGTAGATAATTAGGCATTGAATACACAGCGGAGAAAATAGAATTAGCCTCACCTTTATTTTTCGTTTTAATTTAACAAAAATGGCAGTGAAACAATTATTAAATCTACTTTTATTTCTTATTATCTTTTGCTACAACTAAAAAGTTTATAAATTGATATGTTTAAAAATTACAAATGGAAAAAAAAATTAAAGGTATTCAATTTGCGGGGAAAATAGAATTAGCCTCATTTACATTAAATACAAGAAAATACAGAAATTACTTTGTTTTTGCTCATTTAATATTTAGTATTGCTTCCTAAATTTTTAATGACTTCAAATATGCGACTTGACATACTAGTCACAAGACTTTGGATAGTTTCTATAGATATTTCATTTCAATCTTCTCTGATACGAGTTTTTAGCTTCAAGGTGGATTCAAATTGCTTACCATTTTCATAAACCTTTCTAAAAAGTTTATGAAAATGGTAAAACCATTTTTTCAATTGGGTTAAGATCTGGACTACATGCGGGCCATTCCATTACGAGAATATTTTTTTCTAAACCAAGCTTTTGTATACTTTGAGTTATATATAGCAGTATTATCTTGTTGAAAAGTTAAATTTTCACACATCAATTCCTCACCATGTTCAACCAAACTTATTTCTAATAATTCAATCTAGTCCTGTGAATTTTTTTTTTTTTTTTGAAATCCATGCCAGTGGAAGTTTTCCAACAATGGAAAAAGCCCCTCAAACCATAACAGTTCCACCACCAAGTTACGACTCATCCGAGTTTCTTTTTCTTTTTGAAGATCGTGCCAGTAATATTGATAGTCATCATGACCATCTAGATTGAACTTTTTTTATCACTAAAGAGAACTTGATGCCACTCTTCCCGCCAAGACTTGTGTTCTTTTACAAATTTTGGTTTTGGTTTACGCTTTTTCCAAACTGTGTTTGGATCTTCATGTAAGATTTGTCTTACACGTTGAACAGATACAGGTAATTGTAAATCAGTTTGAATTTGAGATGCAGTCATGTGCTAAGCAGCAACACGACGTACAATAACTCGTTTAGCACGATTATTAATTTGACATTTGCCACCACTTTCCTTATAAGCTCTATAATTAACGCCATTCTTGAAGTAATTAATGACTACTTTTGTAGATCTTTTAATTTTGTTTGCAATTTCCCGATTAGATAAGCCTGTATGTTTCTATGCTTTGATTACTGCTAATTCTTCATTCGTTAAACGCTTGATACGTTCCATTTCAAATCAAGGTATCAAAAACTAAATGTTAAAAACTTTATGAGCACTGATTTCAAAGTCTTTGTTTAACTTACAAATAATAATAAAAAACAAAGTCACAAATGCGTACCATCAGATCAAAATATACAAGTAAACTGAAAATAATTATTGATGAGGCTAATTATATTTGTTACCGCAAATATCAACTACACTTTATGGTTTTTTTAAATGTACCGCAATTTAATTATGTTATATGATAATCTAAAAAGTAATTGTTTGCAACAATGATTTTATGTGTGTGAATACAAAAGATGCACGGCACAAACTTGCTTACAGATTTACAAAATATTAGATCAGTACATGGTGAGGCTAATTCTACTTTCTCTACTGTATGTCTATTAAAACTAATTGTTATTTGTTCAAGCAATATTTTCTTTATAAATATAACTTTATTTTTATTTAAACATTAATTGTGTTCAAGTGTACTTTACTCATTAGGAATATTGTATTTAAGATTTCTTTTATTTAATTTGTAACCATAGGTTTAAATCTTATACCTGGAAAAAAGTTGTGTCTAACCTGTCTTAGTAAAGTTACGAAACGTTTATTAAAAGGTATGAGTGAAAATAAAAATTCTGAAGATTTTGATATTGTTAGTGAAACATCTATTCAAAATAAAAAAGAGTGTAAATACACACTTTACAGTTGCTAGAGTATCTCCTATTGCATAAGTCAGGTAAAATCAGAGAAATTAAACAAAAAATGACAGCATTAACAACCTCTAATAAAAATAAAAAAAGTAGCCACCTCCCTTAATATATCAGAAAAAAGTTTTAAAAAACAGACAAGTTTTGGTAATGGTTATATGGAAAAACAAACTTGTTTGATAACATGATGTTGTTGTAGTAAAACAACTACTAAAATTAAACTAATAAAATTGCAGAGTCTACAGTAACATCTAAAAAAATACAACTGACAACGCTTGCTCCAACTGACTGGTCAATAAAAAAAGTTTCTGAAACATTGCATTTAACAAACTATGTAGTTCGAACTCCACGAGCTACATAGTTTGTTAAATGCAGTTTGTATGTTAGCATTTTGAATTCATTTATGACTTTGAAAACATGACCATGAAACAACTGTAAACTTAGTACCAGATGATTATGTCTGTGCTTACTATGAGCAAAAGTGGTGGATAGGAGTCATTGAACACATTAATCCAGAGGAAAATGATGTTCTTGTCAAATTTATGTGTCCAAATGGTCCAGCACGGTCGTTTAAATGACCACCAGTGGATAACCACTGCGGACTCCAGATGTCCACATCATTTAAAAAGTTGAATTACGACTATAAAAACAGGGCTTTGCTACCATTTAGCTAAAGACGAATTTATAAAAAATTGTTTTCCTTAGGAAATAGAGATGTTTATATTTAAACTATTTTCAAGTTTGCTAAGTCTGATATTTCAACTTTTTTTAATCTTTTATTTTTTGTACAATTTATAAATAATGCGAATGAAAAGCATATATAAAATCACTTAAATTGAGTTTTTATTTTTCAAAAGATTTTTTTATACAATATTATTTTGTTGCAAAAAGTTAATAAAAAAAAATAAAATTATAACCCAAAGGGAAAAAAGATGTCGAAAAGACGTCTTTAATAGTCTAATTTACGATGTCTTCAAGACGTCTTTTTTTTAAAATATAAAAAAATGAGTGTGCTAAATAAATTTACAACCATCAAAATGACTGTACAACGATGTATTTTATTATGTAGTATTTAAACCAAGCTAAACATTTGCATCTCTTAGATTTGCTATGAAAGCCAAGTTATTGAAAACAGATATTGAAATTTTCCTGTCTTCAATGACTTGACTTTTTAATTGAATTTCGCTGAAATTAAGTGTTGTAGACTCTTAACAACTTAAAAATCCGTTATTGACTCAAGACTATCAAAACGAAAAGATAATTCAGCTAACACACCTTGAGAGTTGTTATTCATTTGAACTGGATAAAAGTATTAATCAAAGCTCTATTTTAGCCTGAAACATAAGATGCTTTACTTAACAACATAAAATTATAAAAACTAGCGATATCATTAGCAACACAGATGAAATACACATAAACAAAAATGAAGACTAGAAAGCTGCAATGATGTTTAGATATAAAAAAGTGTACCTTTCCTGTCACATTTTCACTTGGTTTTTTTGTATTTAAAGCAAAAATTTTGCAAACAGCTCTAAAAATAAATCTGTTGTCATTGTGTATTTTTTAAATTGCTTTGCTAATGACAGACAGTTAACAAGGAAATAACAAATTTAAGATAAAAATTAAAGAGCCAATTTTTTGTATAAACATTTTTATTATTCAACTAAATAAAAACAACAAAACAATTTAGATCATTTAAAAACATATAAAAAATAAAATTGCAATGCTTCTGAATGCTTTTTCTTTTCTATCGTTCGTTTCACTGGCACTTGAACAAGTAAATATAGACAGAAACTTTTTACAGGTTTTATTTTTCGTCTGAAAATAAATATTTTAATTTAATATGTAATAAACAACGTTCTTCAAGCACAACACATTGAAAAATTAGTCCAAAAATTAACGGAAAAACTATTTAAAACACTTACCTGCAACTAACTTAATTGAGACTAAATTATATCGGTACCATCTTACTGGCACCACGCCATCCACTTTTGCTTCTTCTAGTTAACATTTTTTGGCTAAACAGCTGCAATTATATATTTATTTCAGTATATATATATATATATATATATATATATATATATATATATATATATATATATATATATATATATATATATATATATATATATATATATATTACAATATATATATAGTTATATATATTATAGTATATAATATATATAACTATATGTTATATATATACTATAATTATATATATTATATATAATATAATATATATAATTATATATATTATTAAAAGTTACGTTCTAAACAACTTTAAAACCTTTTCTAGACGTTCTAAACTTTAGAACGTTTAGAAGAAGTTCAGAACTTATATTAATTATTTAAGTAAAAACAGAATTAAAAAGTTTAGATGGCTGCTTTGGCTGTATAAGCTACATCGTAAGGAAGACGACATGAACTTTCGTCAATGCTACTTTCATAGTGTTCTTTATAAAGACCGTTAGATCTTCTTCAAGCACCTTGGCAAGGAAGATGTATTATAAAAAAAAGTTATTTTCAAATACTAACAACTTAAACATTTTGTCTTGCGCGGTATTCTCTCCCTTTAGTGTATGGTAGAGTTTAGGAAGCTTATTTTTCAAAAAAATATTGTTGAATGGCGCTTGATAATATTTGCTAATGTTGAAAATTTCTTAAAAATATCAGAATCCACAAAACAGAACGGCAAGCACTCCATAGCAATCAAAGTAATGATTTTATGATCAATCGACACCGTTCTTGAAGTTCGTTACCTCCATCGTAAATCCAAAAAAGGTTTTCTCAATTACGTTTACTTGTTCTCTTCTTGTTATTTCCGCTTAATTTCTTTCTTTTGAAATCCGATGAATAATATTCTTTGTTGTATTTGAATGTGCTTTTGCAAGCCAATAGTATTTGATTGCTTTGTTTCTTATTTTCCGCAAATTTTTACAGAGCTGATTCTCGTAGAAATGTAAAATAAAATTTAATAAGAAATAAAACAACTACAAGGTATTAACCAAGAAACAAAGTAATATCATTAGATGGATGAAAAAGAGGAAAAGGGGCAAAAAGGTAAAGTGATTTTGTTTATCTATATAGTTATTGTACAGATTATATACTTATAAATAACAAAATACAAGATATTTACTTAGGTACAAAATATAAACCATAAATTACACTTAGTGAGTAGCATTTACCTTATTTTTAATGAAATTCTTCATATTAAAAATTTATGAATTGATTTACATGTATTATGAATGATTTACTTTAGTTGTTGAATATTGAACACATATTGCACAGGTCAACAACAACAAAAAAAATTCTGTTGATTTTCTCTATAGCATTTCTCATTTTGATTTTAAATATGAACTTCATTTTTCATCATCACGTCAAGTTGTAAAGATATTTGGATTCAAAACTTTAGTATTTGAAGTAAAATCCCTAATATTGTTGAAAAAAAATTATTCAAAAGTGTGTCAACCTGGGTCTTAAAAGAAGCGTATTTTTATAGAGATTTTAGAAAACATAAATATTTTTCCTTAAAACTTATTGACAAAAAAACGTAAAAAAATGCTAAAGACCCTTAAAAAAATGTAAACAAAATGTTTCTCAGCAATAATACAAAAAGTACATATTTATTTCAAACAAATAACATCTTTAAAATCTCTATAAAATTACGCTTCTTTTGAGACCCAGGTTGACATACTTTTGAATTTCATTTTTTTCCGACAATTTTAGGGATTTTACCCAAAATACTAAACACTTGAACCCAAATATCTTTAAAACTTGACGTGATGATGAAAAATGAATTGCATATTTGAAATCAAAATGAGAAATGCTATAAAAAAAACTAATTGTATGCTCGGCAACAAAAAAAATTTTTTTTTTTGTTGACCTGTGTTATTAACATAACAGAATACCAGAAGAGTACCACGCGAGACAGCTAAAATAACCAGATAAGAAACTAAATTAAAGAAGCAATACCACAAATAATGAAACTAAAATTGCAATATTACATAACACATTAACTGATAAATATGTCATATGAGCCAATTATGAAAGTCTGGGTTATTATACAAATTTACTAATGATTTTTTTTTTTTACTAACTGATTATTTAGTGACTAGAGAAGGCTGAGAAATAAAAAAAGGCCTTCAGCATATTGAGATAATTTTTTCACAAGATTGAATATTTGTTTATATTTTTAAATTTAAATAACTCTGTGGTTGTGCTGAAATTAAACAAATCTTGTGGTTGTACTTATTGAAATCAATGAGTAAGTCTCTAAACAACTTAATCATACTGACAAACAACTTAATCATACTGTCTCTAAACAACTTAATCATACTAACAAACAACTTAATCATACAGTCTCTATACAACTTAATCATACTGATATCCAAGTTTAAAATTCTCCCAGTTACAATCAGATTATTAAAAAAAATTGCAAACAACGTTTCCGCAACGTTTTCAGTATAGATTACGCCACTTCTCTTCCTGACCAAAAAAAATATTTTAAGTTGTATCTTAAATAAATGCATGAATTTTTTTTGTTTGTTTTCAATAAATTATTTACTCTTCTATGTTGAAATATTTTTTGCTTACTTAAGTGTCTGGAGTTAGCAAGCAGGGTTAAAGACATATTCCATGCCGTGTAAAGTCTGAAAATTCCAAATTTCATTACATTTTTGTTTAAATTTCTGTTCATTTTTTCCAAACAACTTTAAAATTAAATTCCTTAAAGTTTAAAATAAAATAAATTGCATGACTGAGATGCAATTTTATTTTAAAGATATTTGATATAACAACATTTAGTGATTTGCCGCAATTTATTGTGGTATAAATAGTTCACAAACTAGACTTTATTACAAAAGTACTTTCACCCAATTTAAATTCAATATTCACACAAATTTCATTTTTTTAATGTTCAAATTTTTATAAATAAAATCAACGATAATAAAGGTTATAGTTATCATTAAAACTATGAAGATTCCGACTGTTGACGTGGTCCTTAATATAAAATTAAAATTAATATTTATATAAATAATTAAGGAATAAGAACTCGTTAGTAAAAAATATAAGATATACCTAAAATAATACATATGCCTACCAAATAAATGTTTTACAAAACAAAAGTTAAACAAAGAAAGTAAATGTATATATAAATAATTAAAATAAAAGGTTTCGTAAGAGTGTTAAAAATAAAACAAAACAAACATAAAAGTATATAAGAATATTTTCAATCGAGTTTTCAATTTTCTTTTAAATAAGAAAAAGTTCTATTCTCGAGAACTTAAGTAAAAAATCTTGAGAAAAACCAAAAAGTTTAAAACCATTTTATTCCATAAAATCTCCACAAAATTTATTAAAATTAGTTTAAAAAAAAAGCAGTTAAAGAATAAAATTTTCATTACGCAAGTTGTATTTATTTTTAACTTTTAAACTTTTAAATTTCTTCAACTTAAAAAAATAGTGAAAAGAAATATACGAGTTTTACATTTAACATAAAACACAGCGCATTAAAAATATTTAAATGATATATGTTAAAATATTAATTTTAATTAAAAGAAGCTTAGATTCATAAAAACTGTGCCTAAAATTAATAATAAGTCCTGCAACACGTTTCTGTTGGTAATAAAATGGTACTAATTTACACTACTAGACACGTTAGACTTTTAGAAATTTTGCAGGAAAAGTTTTTAATGCGTTTTTTCATGTCAGATTTTCATCAATAAAAACGACCGAAAATTTGTAACTGTTACACTTTTAATTTGCACAAATATAAAAACTTCTATAAAAAGAACAGGCAATTCACTTGGTAGAAGATATTTTTTATAGTATGGGCGTAAAAGAGACCATTTTGTTTTTTCAATATTAAGAGAAAGTTCATTTAATTTAAACTACTTTAATTAATTTATGTTCACAAATTAATTAAAGTTGAGTGTCTTTATGTTACTATGAGATAAAGTTTTTTTGTGTCGTCAGCAAACATTATTGTTATTAAATTAGATGCTTCATAGAGATCGTCTATGTAAATGAGAAGTAGTAGAGGTCTTAGGACAGACCCTTAAGAAACTCTGCATGTTATAATCAACAAATTTGATTGCGATGATACGTCAAAATGAATAAATTGCTTAATATTGCTTAAGCTTAAGCAGCTTTTTAATAGCTTTAGAACATTGCCAGAAATCCCATAATATTTTATTTTTTTTGAAAGAATTTAATCAATAGAATTTTGTTTATTTATATATTAGAACTTAACATTTTAAATAGAATTTGATCAGACATAATTTTTCAAATTAAACACCTGAAATTGTTGATAAATTAAATAAGTTCGTAAAACATTTATTTTACGGCTAACGTACCGTTAGTTTAATTTATTTTAATACTTAACTTATGTATAAAATAAATTAAATTAACGTGACTATATTAGTAAAAAACATATAAAACAAATAAAATAGCACGTTTTGCAGTAGTTAAATTAAGAAAATGTAATTCTATTATAATATAATTAAGAAAATGTAATTCTATTATAGTTCTATGAACAATCTATTATTCTAACCTAGTGGGCATTTCGACGTCGAACGAGCGTCGAGCGACGTCGGATCGACGTTGGGTTTACGTTGGAAATGGAAATGTTATTTGACGTAGGATAAACTGACATCGCGCGACGTCGGCATTCCGATGTAAATCCAACGTGTTTTTTGAAAACTAAAAAAACGCTACCCATGGCAGTAATCGAACCTCGGTCTATTAGTTACTAAATCCTATGCGCTTACCACTACACTACAAGAACATATTACTTGATGAGTTTATTTAGTAATTTATACTTGTAGCTATTTGGGAATTATTAAATTTGATAAGAAATACATTTGTTTAAATATTATATAAATATTAAAACGAATAGTTATATATTATAAAAAATGTATACTCGAAAATGTTAATAATTAAAAAACTATGCTAGTGCATCATACAAAACCTCATGATGTTTTATCAACCTTTATTCAAACTTTTTTCCATTAATAAAAAAACACGCTTAGTTCACATAATTATTGAAGAGCGCAATTGCACACATATTGTTGAATTTTCATCAGCGATGTCTTACGACGTTGTTCCGACGTCGTTTTAAGGACGTTGGATTGACGTCGGAAGACGTCAAAAGACATCGGAGTACGTTAATATTATGACGTTGCCCGACGTCTTTTTATCGACGTTGGATCGATGTCAGTACTGCGACGTTTTTTGGACGTCTTTTATAAGAAGTCGGAACAACGTTAAAATACATCGAAACGACGTCAGGGGATGTTGAGATAAAGACATCGTCCGACGTCATTTTACTGACATCGGAACAACGTCGGAATAGGTCTTTTGACATCGCTGATGAAAATCAAACGTAAATCCGACGTCGGATTGACGTCGGGTGCCCACTGGGAATCAACTCAACATTTTTCTAACAAAAAAAATCTTACCAAAAATTCTTTTCTTTTATCTATAACGAAAGTTTAGTTTTTACAAATTATTTTAACTTCATATCAAATCATTTCAAAAAATAAGTTCGCCTTTTTGTGTTGATGTGTCAAAGCCAAGGGTAAGATTATTATTATTGCGGGCAGTCATTCTGCTGCTTGCAACGACATATTATAAATTATTATTTTCATTTATAATGAATGTATATTTTCATTTTCTGGCATTTTCATATTTGTAATTTTTTCTTCTCCACCAGTGCCATATCATTTTCCAAGATAAAAGCTACCTATAATTTGCTTTAATATCAAGATTATATTTGAGCTTTATCGGTTAATATTTTGTTTTATTGTTTAAATTTTGCTTTATTTTTTGCTTTATTGTTTACTTTATTGTTTAAATAAGCTTAATTGTTTAAATTTTGGTTTGAACTTAACCCTAAAATTGTGAATAAACTAACTGAAATTTTTTCTGTTTTCAACCCTTATGCTCGTTTGTGCAACCTATTTACATGATCTCTGACTTTATTTCTACAAAATTTGGTTTTAAAAGATTTTTTTATTTTATCACAAGTTTTGATATATGACTAACCGTTTTCTATAAACAATAAAAAGTATATTTTCATTTTTAAAAACTCCACTACACTCTGTAATTGAGTCAATATTTATTTAAGGCAACGCAAAGATAGAATCTTAACTTTTTATTATAACTATATAATAAAAACGTCTTCAAATGACCCACTGCATCAATGAAAATTATTACAACTAATAATGAAAATTATTGCAACTAATAATAAAAAATTATTGCAATAATAATGAAAAATATTAGTAAGTAAACAAATTCGATATTTTAAATATAAATAAATTTAAATAGTAAATTTAAATAAAAGCTGAAAAAAGTTATACATACTGAAGCAGTAATTCACTCACCCAATTTAATAAGTAGTTTCTAACCGCATAAAACAGGTTTATTATTTACATAATTTTAAAGTCATTTATTAATTAAATAAACAATATATTCCGATCGACGAATCAATAGTATTGAAGATAATTGTTTATTATAAAATCTTTTATAATAATACCCATAAAGCGTAGAAAAAAGTGATTATGCTTTTTTTTTTTTTTTCTTTTTATATTTTTTTTTTTAGGTGTCCCTAGAAGACCTAACAGTTTTGTCACAGAGCACCGCGGAAGTGCATTTAACCAGAAAGTTCACGCCTCATTACTGTGACGCAAAAATATGTCCAGAGCTCGTTTCGAACCTGGATCTCTTGTTTATAACGAAAGCGCTATAAACACTGCGCCACGGCCCTACAATGATGTTGAATCATCTCAAATTTTATTTTATAGAAAGAAAAAAAAATTTAATTTTTGTTTCTTAAAATATGATAAAAATTAACTTGATCGTAATTAAGAAATAAAAAAAACGTGGTAACTCGTAAAGTATCGATTTCTGGGGTATTTTAGTTTCATTACTACAAAATCAACTTAATTCAAATTAATATATATTTTCTTATCTTGCTGCGATGCTGTGTTCATAAATGTTTTCTAAAAATTGTTTAATAGATAAAAGATTTTTGCTTGAAAAAATCACAGATGTAAAAAAAAAAATCATGAACGTCTTGAGGTTGACCCAATTGAGTTTATTCAAAAACTAAGCATTTTAAGAAGCTGAAAAACGGTGAACCGAGAAACTTGATTAGAACAGTATTTTAACTCTCTTTACAAAAAAATGTTTATGAGATCATATTTGTAACTGTAGCGCTTTTCTAACCATTTTTGATAACCCGAAAAAAAGTAGTTTGTTTGACGTGCTTATAATCACTGTTGTTTGACATTACTGCAATATGCAAGCACTCAGTTTAAAACTTATGGATTTGATATAATATATTAACTGCTTTAATATATTAACTGCTTATTTATATTATATTTTATAATATGTTAACTGTTATAACATATTAACTGTTTCTTGCGCAAAAGAAATAAAAATAAAGAACAACACGCTTGAGAACTAACTAAAAACTAAAACAGATACTAATAATTTATCCATTTTAAAAAGTAATAAAGTAACACATTATCGAACTTCAAGCAAAATATAGTACTAAAAATATAGCGTTCACACATGCAAACTCTAGCAGAATTTTATAACAGCGTTTTGTTTCTACGAACAAAGTTAAAAATATTAAACAGCTCAAAATATTTGAAACGCTATCTAAATCAATATCACAATCTCACATCATCGTTTAATCTTTTTCACAAATAAAAACTTCCTAATACTTTATCTAGCCCAGCCGGCACAACTCGTTAAAAAATTACTAGTGGTTTCTGTTGCGTGTTTAAAACTCCTGAAAACACTAAGAATATCACGTGTCAAAAATAGTTTTGATTCCGTGAAATTAACTACTACCATTTACCAAAGTACGTGTTAGAATATTAAGTTTTTACTAATGGCTTCACAATTACAAAAATGGAATATTATATTATTTAAAGTTTCCGTTACGAAACCATGAATAAAACCATACAAAACTTATCGACTAGAACTGTACAGAATTCGGAAACAGAACGATTTTGTAAAAGCGTTTTCTTCTAAAGCATGGTTTGTAAAAGTTATTCGGAAATAAATTTTCTCTTTACATAAATTGTGATTTTACTTTATATCACATTATTTATGTCTATTATTGTCAAATATTAGTATTTATAAATACTAATATTGTTATAAACATCAACATAAAATGCGTTATATATATAACGCATTTTATGTTGGTGTTTATAACAATATTAGTACTTATAAATACTAATATTTGACAATAATAGACACAAATAATGTGATATAAAGTAAAATCAAAATTTATGTAAAGTTTTTCAAAATTAAATTAAATTTTTGTAAAAAAAAAATGTAAATTCAAAATTTATGTATATTATAATATACAAAATATTATGTGTTATATGTGTTATAACCCATATATATATATATATATATATATATATATATATATATATATATATATATATATATATATATATATATATATATATATATATATATATATATATATATATATATATATATATATATATATATACATATATATATACATATATATATATATATATATATATATATATATATATATATATATATATATATATATATATATGGGTTGAAAATAATTGTATTGAGGCTCTAGTAGCCTTTTCAGGTAAAAGTTAGTATTTTTTTCAGCGTAAAATAATAATGTCACAACATCACTTGAAAATAAAAATAACCAAGATTGAAAAAACTGTCGATATGGCTGTTGGTCTTTTACAACAGCTTTTAAATAAAGGTTCAAATGTAGTTACGTTTGATCAGGTTACCTCAATGGACGACCTGATAAAATTCGAGATCCGTCTTAAAGACAATTTAATTAAAGAAAAGTTAACGCGGAAATTTGAAGCAATGGGACCTGTCTGCAAAGATTCAAAAGCGCATTGCTATGCAATTTTAGATTCACTTATGACCGAGGAAGTGCAATCTAAAGTTAATGTTAAGTATGGTAATCACGTGCCAAACAAAAATTATACTGACCATTTGTCATTAACACACGATTTGCCTTTGATTTTTTCTTCCATTCTAGCATCGTTAGTTTCATGGAAGGTACCAGAAAAACTTTTGAAATCCTTTTTGAGTGAAAGGTTTAAGCAAGGTATAAGAAGAGCTCATGCTGCCAAAAGAGATTAAACTGTATATTCTTTATCTTTTATATTTAGTTTTTTAGTTGGTATATTTATATTGTTAATGGTAAAAAAGCTTGGAAGAAATTGAAATATAATTTAGGATTTTCTTAAAAAAATGCAAGTAAAATATAATAAAAACGATCATATTTTAGTTGAAGTCAATCGAAGTTTAGAGAATTTATATATGTTGATTGGTAAAAAGTTACCAATCATTGATCAAAAATTAAAAAAAAAATAGTTTGCATGATTGAAATCTTAGTATAAATTCCGGCAGGCTTTAATAAATCTTTCGTGAAGTCTACGTATTTTTGGTTTACAATTTGATCGCGTTATACACGTGTATGTTTTAGATTTAATTTCCGTATTGAAACCTCATAAGACTCGTATTTAAAACCTCATAAAACCCGTGTTTAAAAAATAAAATAAACTCGTGTTTGAAACCTCAGAAAACACGTGTATAACTCCAGTTCAACTTCCCGTGAAATCCACGTGTTTTTGGTTTACGCCCGGATCGTAACAATTGGGTTTTAATTCCGAGATTAAAACTAGATGTGCCGGCTGGGAGGTAGCTGCAATCAATAATATATATAGGGTTGACGGGAGTACATTGACCCACTTTTTTTTCTTTCACGTGTTGTTAAGCATTTATGTTTTATTACATATTTTTTTTACAAAAAAAGTTTGCAAAGTTGCTAGATTTTTTACCAGAAATTAGATTTGGCACATTTGGCCAATGTTCCAAATATGAAAATGTCCGTTATATTCAAATTATAAACAATTTTCTTTTTGAACCATCAATTGATAATATGTAATGCTATATTTAATTTAGCATTACACATTATCAATTAATCATTCATGTTATAACAGTTAATATGTTTAAATTTTTAAATTTTGTTTGTGGAAAAAAACGGCGTTATAAAATCCTGCTAAAGTTTGCATGTCAACACTATATTTTTACTACTATATTTTGTTTGAAGTTCGATAAAGTATTACTTTATTACTTTTTAAAATGGATAAATTATTAGTAGGGGAGACCGGGGCTAGTTGGCCGCAGGGGTAAGTTGACGAATTGCGTTTATCTTTAAAGCCTTTCATCAGAAAGTGATAAAAATTACACAGAATCTTCCTAATTGACTGTTTCATCATTCAATGTAGTATTGTCAGGATTCGCGCATGCGCATGGGAGATATTAAGATTTAAGTGTTTTTTGGACAAAAACGTAACTTTTGAAACATCGCTTCCTTTTTACTTTACAAAGAAAATAGTTAGTCAAATGGAAAAAAAATTATTGTAAAAGTTCTAGCCACAATTGGTTTACTATATTCAGTTTGACTTTTTTTAAAAGTTGCCGTTTTTCAGGATCTATAGACTGTTTATTGAAAAAAAAGCCTTCGGGGTAAGTTGACAAAATTTTTACGGGGTAAGTTGGCTCATAGCATTTACTATGGAGAAAAATATTTATTTTTATAAAAATAATTTTTTTAATTTTTTTAATTTTTAACAATATTGAAAAAACTTATTCTTACAAAAAAATTATAAAAATTTTTTTTTTAGGTTTTTTGTAACAGGTAAAAAGAGGGCTGCTGTTTTGGCTGTTATACGTACTAATATTTAGCACAAGCTAAAAATAATATCAAATTATTAGCTTAAATTGTTGCCAAAATTAATAGGTAAAAAATTTCTATTAATTTTGCACTTAATAGTACATTAATAATCACGTTTATAGTTTGCGTCAACTTACCCCGTGGTGGGGTAAGTTGGCGCATTTTTTTTTTTTTTTTTGAGGGCCCCGTAAGGCCCCAAGAATTTTTTTTTGTAAATCTATGAAACTTTTATAAGTTACCCAAGTTCATACGCTTTGAGACTACACTTTAATATTTTCAAAAAAGTGTGCTATTAGGGCTACAGAGCTCATAGAGTAAAAACCGAGCCAACTAGCCCCGGTCTCCCCTATCTGTTTTAGTTTTTAGTTAGTTCTCAAGCGTGTTTTTCTTTATATTTATTTCTTTTGCGCAAGAAGCAGTTAATATATTACTTGATGATTTTGCTAAAAGTTAACATGTTGTTTGCTGCTTAGGTGCTTAACTTGCGAGTCTTCTGAGTAGTAAAACGGGAGTGGAACAGAAGACAAACGAGTAAAATGCAAAATTTTGAGGCAAGTTTTTTAAGCATAAAAAAAAATGTTACTGTCTTGTTAGTAAAGTTGTTATGCTAATTGCATTTTATTGGTTAAGAATTTAATAATGCTGGTAGGGGAAGTGGGGGCATAACCGCATATTGAGGCACAACCATTTTTGAACATTTACTTACCTAAAATACTATCAAAAATAGCAACAAAAATATCTTGCGCTAGTTAAACAGTTACTCTCTTTTTTTTTTTTGCCAACAAAAGTGCGTGCTGCGTTTCTGAGAAGTTGCGCATAATACTGCTTATTTTAATATAAATATTATAGTTACATCATATTTTTCCAGACCTTTTTTTTTTGTGGATTAAGCAATATTTGATTTTTGTATTAAAGATATGTGTTTTTAGCGTTATTTCATCATGTGAAAACTATTTTTGATAACTTAAAAAACAAACTAACTGTATTTTTCTAAAAACTGTCTTCTGGTTAAAATATAAAGTTAAGACTATTAATTTTTATTTTGTCATATCTATTGTTATATTATAAAATAAATTGTTATTTCGTTATATATTTATAGACTGAGTTGTGACAATTGTAAAGAAAATGTACCACGGAAAGTGTACCCATAACGATTTTTGTGAGGGTGGGGTTGCGCCTCACAATGGGGGCAAAACCCCACTTTTTTTTTCACTAAGTGTAGTTTTTGTGTGATAACATTTTTAAAAAGCGTTTTATTTTTTTCTTAATTGTTGCAATTCAAAACTTATTAATGTGATTATTGAAATAAACTGTTAAAAAAACACACTTTGTTTTTATTTTTATATAACATCAAACGTTCTGGAGGCGTTTAAGCTCCCACTTCCGCTATATTAAATTGAAATTGTATCTTGTAACTTAAAGAGTTTTATTTTTCTGTCCCTAGTAAGTAATTGTACCAGTTGCGTCAAATATTTTACATAAAATTATATTTTTGTTCACTAATAATTTATGAATAATATTAATAACAATAATAACTATTATAAATATTGGTTATATATAACCAATAAATAACCAATCTCCTGCAAACTTTAACAAAAAGTTTGAAAGAAATATAAAAGTTATCAATAAGAGAAATAATAGAAAAGTAATTTTTCACAAATTAAAATTTGTTTTAATTTGTGAAACAAATTTTAAATTCGAAACTAAAAACATTGATTCGAAAGTCCCTACAATGCTTTCTAATAACACGGTGCACCAAATACACAGAGCGCAAAATTTAACCTATCTAGATGATTATTAGATAATTGACATACTTCAGATTTTCAATTAAAAAAAAATATATTATTAAGTTATGAGTGTCAACATTGAGTATTTATGCATAGTATTAATGTGTGCATATGATGTGTGTGTTTATATATATATATATATATATATATATATATATATATATATATATATATATATATATATATATATATATATATATATAGACACACATTGTGTCTTGAATTACATCATTGTAGTGTTGCCTGGTGCTGCACCACTCCATTGCTAGTTAAATTTTGATTCATTAATAAACCAATTTATACAAATTCATATATATATATATATATATATATATATATATATATATATATATATATATATATATATATATCATAGTTAATAATCTTAAATTTAATAAGTAATTCAATTTTAGCAAAATGGAATTCCAGAATTGTTATTAAATATTAAAACTAAATATTCAAAATTATTAACTAATAAAATTTATATATTTGATGTGCAATATGTACATTAAAAAAAAAAAAAATCATATTTGCCTATCCAAGCTAATCTACAGAGGAGGCTGAGCACTGATTTCCATTTGCTTTATTGAAAAAAAGTAACACTACTTTAGTCAGATAAACCGTAAAAACTAATGTTTTCTCGATACAACATTTATTGTTAAAATACTCACATGAGTAATTAACATAACCTGAAAAACCAAATAATCTTTTAAATTGCTTCTTTTTTTTTTAAAAAAAAGAAACATTTTAAATTTTATTTGCTTTTCATTTTAAATTGTTAATGATGGACTGATAAAAATATCGCTACTCATAAATACATAAAATGCATACACTTTTTAGGGCTTTTAATTATTTCAAATTATTTTTTAATGAACACTTTTTTCAATTAAACCTTTTAAATCGATTGTTTAATATTCATCTCATTATTCATTTTGTTTTATATCTCTTTGAGCAATGTAATAAGAAAATACCCAAAAGTATTTGATTTGATCTGAAAATTTCCATTTTCATATGCATCTTTAACTTGAGTAACTGCATACTTTCACATTTTTAATTTTATTGTTGATTTATGTCAGTCTATACTTTATCAGCAATGTGATATTATTTGCCAGGGATGTGAATTTGTATGACGAGTAAACTTTATAAAATGTGGGGAAATAAAAGGTATAACTGTTTTGCCTAAAATTATCATTAGATTTTTAAAAAAATATTGAAAAACACTATACTTTAAAACAATTGAAAAAAAAAAAAAAAAAAAACATATTGATATTAATTTAAATAAATATTGAAATAATCCAACATTTACATAATTGAATAAATAAAATTCTTTACATTTGAGCTAAATTTAAAACTTTGGTCAAAGAAAGTTATTTCTTTGCGAGAAAACTACACACCTGGATCTAGAATTGAGTATTTTTTGTCACAAGTAAAAGATACAGTTAAAGCAAATCTTGTGCCATTTTCTACTCGCTCAACATAATGTTTATTCTCAGAGCCAGAAGTGAAGAATGAAACTCTTCCAAATCGAGGTTCAATAGTTTTATTAGAATGTTTATCAACAAAAAAAAATCTACCTCCAGTAAAATCATCATTATAATTGCTTAGGTAAAGTAAGCTAGTGTAATAAAATGATTCATAGGTAATTCGATCAATGTGTGGATGCCAGTACTCGTCGTGTTTAGTTTGAGGTGGCACATTATTCAAACGAGAGAAAAATGTAGGTTTTGTTAAGTATAAATGCTTTTCATCTATTTCAAATTCTTTTGCTATCATCAAGCGAATAGCTTCTTTTATTTTTGTATAAATCAAAAAATGAGATTTATTAAAAATATTAGAGTTGACTGTATAAATATTTATAAACTTATCTTTGTGGCTTAAGGCCCCACTGTGAAGATCTAAAATAGTAGCACCACCACTACCACCACCTAGCTCCATACCCTTTTTAGCAATGTTTAGCATTTGGGTTATATCTTTTTTTTCAAAAAGAATATCTGTGACCCCTCTGCCACATTTTTTTGGTAAACATTTTTTAAATGAATTTCCATAATCAGAAGAACAGGGCAATTTTAAAAAAAGCCTCGAAAACTCATCAGTTTGTAATGCAATAGTATCACTGTCATTTAATTCATGAAGATAATCAACAACAAATATAGAAAACATTAAAAACACTATAAAGAAAGCAATGTAGAGAGCTGCTGATAACCAATTTGCTTGTGGCGAAGATTTTTTGCTTTTGATACTTTCTTTTAAAACATTTTTAACTGATTTTAACGTTGATTGATTAGTAATGTTAGAATCAAATGTTACGTTTCTTTTCTTTAAAACACTCATTATTTACTTTAATTTCCAAAAAAAGGGTAAAGAATCTTATAAAAAGAAATACGTTGCTATTTAAATGAAATGAAATATCGCATTTAGAATGCGGAAAATTATGGGAAGTTATTTAAAAAAACAAAAAGTAGTATAGGTGAGTGGGTAAATATAGACGGAAATTACCTAGGATCTTAAATTAGGGCCCCTAGTGACATTTATTTTGGTACATTAAATATAGTTAAGAAATAAAAACATTTTTTATTTTTGATTAAATATAGATTTGTTACTAAATATACTTCCTTTAAAGTTATTAACCTATGTTTCTCATTTAGACCAAATACTTAACTTAGATATAATTATTATATAAAGAAGATAATTATTATATAAAGCCATTATACAATCATTGCATTGATATCAAGAATTTGTCATACTATGATGTGAAATACACGTTGCTCACATTCAAACTAGTTTTTCAGAAAACGTTTTGCAAGAATTGATAATTACATTCAAGAAAGATATGCAAAAAAGTAAAAAAAAGTTGTAAGACCAAGTAAATGAAACTTTAAACTTGTTTTATCGCTAGCTGCAATTAAAAAAAAATTAAAAACTAAATTACATTTAAAGTAATAAAATTAACAAGTAAAATATTTTTTTGATTGACTAATTTTTAACGACTAATTTTTAATTATACGAATATGTTGCAGAATATATTGATAGTTTGCCACAACACCTATTCTTATTCGAAAACACTATAATTATTCTAGAGTTATTTTTTAGTCTCTATAGGGCCAAGATTTTAGTACTTATTTAAAAAAGGACATCTGTATTTAAGATAGCAATGGTAAATAATAGTATTTTTGGTAATTGATTATGCAAAAAATCTAGCAGCACCACCTGCTTTCATTGACCTTCAATTCTGTTAAAAAGTAAGTGCTCACTTTTATTAATGCAGCTTTAAAAGTCTTAAAGCCTCTTAAATACTTTTAATACATGGAAAACATTTTTCAATATTTATCTTGTCAACGCCTTGCATAAGTTTGTATAATTAGCCTAAATCTCTTCCTTTTATCTTTTCAGAATTAACTAGCCTAAAGCGATGAGTTTATTTGATTGTTTATTTGAACAAAATATTTGTAAAAAAAAAATTAAACAATTACTAAAGAAATACCCTTCGTAACTATGTTGTAAAAGAAGAAGTTAAAAACTATGATTGCCTAAATAAACAGTTGGGGTTTTAGCTGTTTATACAGAGAGGACTTAATAGGATTGAAATTCATAAATGCAAAAAAAAGGATTTAAGAATTTATCACCGATAGTAAAAGCATTATTAATGGAAGTAATAAAGATATTTTGCTGACATTGGGAGAAGACCCAGCAGTTAGGCTGTTAAATATTCAGTATTTTAACAAGAATAGCTACATTGTAATCACTTTTGTGTGCATCTTTATAATATGACGCTATTGATAACGCCTTGAACCTCTGATGTTATTGTTTTCAAATCTTTCATTTGTTAGATTTATTTAAAAATTTAATTTTATGCATTAAATACTAATGATATTTCTCTGCAGTTATCTTAGTTTTGTCTTTTAGTTGTTGTTTTTCATTTTTCTTTAAATGTATTTGTGGTTTAGTTAGTGAGTATACTTTAGAACTACTTACCTACTTTAGAATAAAATTTTGATAAAAGAGTTATTCTTCAACATTGACTGCCGATCCATAAAAGTAAAAATATGTCTCTCTGGCAAATCTAGTGTTATGTTGATAATATCTGTGAAACCATTTGTTGTGGCAATGAATTGTGGATTACAGAAGTTAGCTAGTTTAGAATACTTAGAAGACTTAACGGGGGAGTTAAAAAATCTTAAGGAACAGTCTTTATGAATATATGTTTGCAGTAAAACAACTGATTTAGGAACCCCTTTCGTTAGTACACACCTGTATACTTTTTATGCTTCTCATCTCCTAATGCATGCCAATGTATTATTCAAAATCAAAACCTTGCTAACGACCTTTTCCCAACGCATAATATTTTCAAAGCATTAAAAACAAAACATTTTGAGTAATTTTGACATCACTCATAACAGAATTGTTAATTTTGTTACATAACATAATAATAATTTTTTAAACTTGTGAAATTTTATGCTTTTGTTAATAAAAAAAGAAACCAAGTTTTCAAGTAGAGAGAGAACGAGAAATAGTCACACTGCCTACTTGCTGTCTTTAACCACCTCCTCTCTCTCTTGTACGCGTTCATAGGTTTTTGGATAACCCCTCCCCTTACCTGCGTACGCACTTTATGGAAGACCCCTTATGGCAAATGACATTATTAATAATAATGAAAAAATCATACAAGTGAAACGTAAAATATTTTAATTTGTTATGCACCAGCAAAAACTTTAAATTTAATCGCTATAATGATCATTATGAATGTGATTGTAATGCGGAAGAAACCTATGATGGTTGAATGATGTTTATGTGGTACTCACTTGTACTTACTGTTACTAGTTACTCACTAGTTACTCACTGTTAAAATATTTAGAGGAAAAATACATTCATACAAAATTTTAACTGTAAACCAAATTGTAAAACCAAGTCTAAAAGATATAGAGTTGTAGAAAGCCTCTAAATTCTAAACATTTCTTTTATCTTAAGCAAAGTGGTTTTCATCTACTATGCAAAATAATACATCCATTTTTTAAGTGTTAGTTTAAGTGTAGCTTTTTGTATACTGTGCAGAAAAGATTTTTGGACTGAATAATGTTATGCTTACAAACTGCTCAAAGAAAATATCCTAAGTTTGTATTTTAGCATAGCAAATTTATCATATCCATTTTCCATGTTGAGTTTTTGGCTTCTTTAGCTCAAGAACTGTATGAGTTTGTTTTTAGGAATTTGTAAACAAACTCTGTAAAAAATTGTTCTCAATATTAGTGCTTCCAATACCGATACCATTTTTCAATACCGGTGTATCGGTACTGAATAATTTCAATACCGGTAATACCGGCATAATACCAGTATTAGGCTTTATTTTTAAAATTATCATAAAATAAATAAAACCTCAAGTTAATAGTAAAAATTTCATTGATTCTATAAGCTTATTTATTTTATATCAAAACTACTAACTTTTTATCTAATTTTGTGACAGTTACCACTTGCTGTAAATCCACGCTCCGATTTGAAACTTGTTTAAAATTTTGCAAATATATTTGCAAAATTTCAAACAAGTTTATATATATACAATAATTTCCTCCTTCTTCGAAAACTGCCATCTCAATACATATAATTTTTGATTAATTATTCGGAATATTCAATATTCCCTTGTTGTTACATTTCTTATTTTTCAAAATTGCAAAGTCAAGCTTTTTTTTCAATGACAAGTTTACAGCGTTGTTCACAGAATCACTATCGGAAAAAAACGCTGATGGAAGGGAGAAGACTATACGCTTTCTGATTAAGCCGATCTTTCAGTCGTGCAATGGTATTTACAATGGCTAATTTGCTATGGTGCTCAAAAGATAGAGCTGGATCCAAATTCTTGTAACGTTGATGGCCCTTGTGCAAAAAATATTGTATGCTGGAAAAAGAGTACGTTTTTCATAGAATCGTCACACCAATATAACTTTACAACTAAATCAGTTTCTCTAAAGTTATCTAACATGAAAATGTTGTATCGGCTCACAACAGTGTTGCATAATTTCGGCACAATGTTTCAACAGCCAGTTTTACTGGCGCAAGACATAAGTTAACAGCTAATATTGCATCGAACTCTTTATTAGTTACCTCAAATTTGGACTCAAGAGCAATCAGTGACTCGCGAATGCATTTTTTCAATTATACAAAACGTTCGAGTACTGTGTGCAAGCTAATCCAGCGAGTTTTGTAACCAAGTATTATTGGAAGGTCTTTATCAAATTTTTCTTACGTGTGTTTTTGAATTTTGATCATTTTTTGTCGGATAACAGCAAAATAAAAAATTCACAACGGTGCGCACCTTTTTGATTAACGGCTGCAAATCATAAGTCAGTTCAATAAAGTCATTCTCTTCCCTCATTACAACTTAAAACCCGTCGGAAAAGTCTTCATCATTATTGGTTTTGTTTGTGTCATCAGTATTTCCTCGTCACTTTCTCTGTTATTGTTGTAATTGCAGATTACTTACAAGTATTTTTTGCAGAAGTTGACGGTTTTTTTGTTCAAAATGTCTTAAATACCTCATTGAACCCCATACCATAATGCACAACTGTTGATTACAGTTATTTAAACGCCCCCACTTTCTACATTACAGAAACTTTTCATATTTACGTTAGTGCAAAATTCAAACATGCGCTCTACATTAAAGCGAGTGACAAAATGATAATATTTTAAATCGGTGCTTCATCATTTAATGAAAACACGAAACATTAAGTAAATGAAATACTTAAAACTTCCATAAACACGAACATTAAGTAAATGAAATACTTAAAACTTCCAGTCACGATCAAACAACGCTTCCGGTAGGAAAAAGATAAAAGATGACAAAGACGTGTTTGTATCGTCGTATTTTATACGTCTTAAACGCGTCTTTCACCTATAGGTAGCGATTAGCTAGCTATACGCTGGGTAGTTGCTAGCTTATTTCCCACCGGGCTGATTTATTTTGTAATGAGAGTACAAAATCATCCTCGCTTAAAAGTTTGGGATCGAGAAAATAATAAGTTTAGCTAAAAATATTTAATTAAAAATAAAACTTGTTTGATTTAAAAGTAAAACTTTGTCTTCCTTCTATTATAACAAATGATTTTGTACTCTCATTACAAGATAAACGAGCCCGGTGGGAAATGAGCTAGCAACTAGCTAGCGAAATAGCTAGCTAATCGCTACCTTTGGGTAAAAGACGCATTTAAGACGTATGAAGTACGTAGAATATTTGTCTTAGACACGTATTTTGTCATCCAACTATCTTATCTATATCATAAGGCCTCTACATAATATGTAGAGGACTTATGATATAGCAGGTGCCTCTTTAAGTTAAAAACGAAAGTAAATAAAATACTTAAAACTTCCACTCGCGATCAAACAACACTTCCGGTAGGAAAAAGATAGCTTGATGACAAAAGACTGTCCGGGACAT